AAAGCAGGGGTCCCCAACCACCAGTCCGCGGACCGGTACCAGTCCGTGGAACAAATCCTACCGGACCGCTGGTTTGCTGGGCGCCGCCATCTTGTTTTGATGAAAAAGTGTTTCCGGTGAGCTTTTCCGGGTAGAAAGCTCACTCGAAGCACTTTTTCATCAAAACAAGATGGCAGCGGCCAGCTGATGCCGGTACCGGGCCGCGGCATAAAAAAGGTTGGGGACCACTGGTCTAAAGAACTGCAGGGAAGAAAAACAATTGGATGGAGAAAGCTTAACTGTTGTCTTCATTCTATGCACATCATCTTTTTCTGATTCATATATATAAAATTAATACTTGGAGCAGGCATGTCCAACCCGCAACCCATGGCCGCAAAGCTAGTAATGTGGCCCCACAAGATTTATGTATAAAAAAGGACGTTTGTTATTTACTGTATATAACATTTTAGAGAATTATATGAAGGCAATTTAGTAAGGCTCACTTCTCTTTCAGAATGAAGTGTGAAACTAAATTTCAAATATTGATCCAGAAAAAAAAAAAAACATTTATATTGTTATTACTGTAAAAATGCTTCTAATTAAGCAACAGTAGTAATTGATTTTAATCTTGTCAGACTTTAAAATTTTTAGATTTGAAATGACATGAAAGGAGTCTGAAATCTGCAATTAAAGATACAAAACCGTAATATACATGTAATCACTCTCCAGTAAATTCTGCTATCAATGCATAATATATAAACAATTTTTCTTTAGTTTTTTTTTAACGGATTGGATTTAGGTTTGCTTTGAGGTGAATGTAAGGGAGACATAAATGCTTTGTTGCTAAGTTAAATCTCACAGATTTTAGTGGGCCTATCGTGAGCATAACTGATGCTCTTGATTCAGCTCACCTGCTAATACTATACTTGACTGTAAAAATCAACCTCAAGTGATTGTCTTTTATGCCAATAATAATATACAATTTATTATTCATTTGCACTTAGAAATTTGGGTCTTCATATTTTAGTACTACCAATAGGTCTTGCCCTTCCAAATCAATAATTTTATATTGTGTCAAGTTATAAATAATTAGCACTAAAAGCTAATTATTGCTATACTAAAAACATTTATCAATTATTGGTACAAATAATCAATGAAGCCTTTCACTGCACACTTAAAAATGTGGGCATTTAATCAGGGCTGTACCTTTTAAAAGGAGATCAATGCTGATAGCATGGTTATAAATCTCTCAGCTTCAGCAATGGATTTGATTATTGTACAAACATAGAATTTATCTACATTATATCACTAATGATAAAACTATCTAAATGTAGTGATATCAATGTTAAATATTATGTTTATTCCAATATTCCATTAAAAATAGCCCATAACTCTTAAGAGCATAATCAATCCTATACCTATACGTTCAAAAGTAAGCCATATTATTAAGTTTAATTGCACTTTCATTCAGGAATGATTGCAGTCTAGTTGATAGACAAAACTATAAATAATAGGTCGAGGAACATAAAACCTACTCCAACATGTATTCCATATAAATCTGAATAAACAAGGCAATAAGTGATAAAAATGCATGCCTGTAGAAAAAATAGAGATTTTTCAACATTTGCAATAGGACATTAATATTTCTTACTTATTTTCTATTTCAAAAGTTAATTGGCTGATGTGGCTGGTTCCCTATAATGTTAGAAACTTCACTCAGCCCTGTCATTTATTTTTCTTAATTCCCATTTGGGTTTGTCACCTTTACTTTTTGTTTTGTGCTGGGGTTTTTTGTTTTGTTTTGAAAGTTCTTAATAATTTGCTAACCACCCAGATTCACTGGGAGTCAAGTGACAAATAAACTTAATAAATCATTATTATTAGCCATACTTAAGATTTCACTTGCTCAACTCTGTTGAAGTTAAAATTCAATAAATAAAGGGTTTGTAAAACATGGCTTCTGATTAATCAACTGAACTGAGCGAAGTCATCTGAAGTGGAAGAGCAATTTAGGTCTCTTAAAACTATGAATACCTAGCTATTCCATCCCTTTAATAAATGTTTCCAGGCAGTAATACTGTATTTTCTGCATCCGTTGCTTATAGCAGCAGCCCCCAACATTTTGGCCACTGCAACCAGGTTTTTCTGTGGACTAGAGGGGGTGTGATTTTGTGTGCTGCCCGCATCCCACAGTGGGGGCTTGGCTTGTTTAGTGGCCCTGTTTCTAGCATGCTGTGGCCTGGTGCCAATCCATAGATTAGGGGCTGGGCACCCCTGGTTTGTAGACTTTTCTCTTTCTTTATTTGTGTTGATTCTGAAGCAAGGCCTTTTCCACTGGGACATCCTCACATGTAGGAATGTAGTATGACAAAGCCACATCTGAAGAACGGCTAATTTTTTTCCAAATGGTGATTACTTTTAATTCATACATTTTTTCCCCCAACTACACTGAGTTCGGTACAAATAAATTAAAATAAAGTAAAGTAAAACAATGGTCTTAATGGCATGGGCCAATCTTTTCACTTTCACTTCACTTTATTAAAGGATTAAGGGAATTAGTAAGTCATTTTATTTCTGCTTCATGTGTATCTAATGCTTGTCACTAAATAAATTTCAACACTACATGCTGAAGGAGTTATTTTATAATAATGGCAATATACTACTTAAAATATGGATTTATGTGTAAAATACCAAAGAAATAGCTTTGGGTTCATATTTTTAGTGATGGAACACTAGAATTTATATATAATCCATATACAGTGGAGATTCTAACATATGGAAAAGAGGGAGAAAAACTTTTTCAAATAATGGAAACTGTAAAACTGAAAAAAGCTTTAGACTTTAAACTAACAGTGTCAAAAGAATTGTAAATATTTTTTAATGCTTTAACTCCATACTAGCCTAGGACTATGTCTAGTTAGAGCCTTTACAACTTTCCCACAGGTGGTATTAATTGTTTGACTTATTTTATTCTGAATTTATGTTTATTTTAAACACATTATTTATTAGTACTTTACAAAATATTGCAAAGTTAATATTTTATAGAAATATTCATTCAACAGTCTACCGAAAAGTGGATAAGAAACTTTACAATTAAATTATAGGTATTTTGGACTATGTTCCTAAGATCAGTTATTCAAAAGCAAAGCCTATCAATGCCATTGGACTTTGCATCTATTTAAGTCAATCAGTACAAACTGTGAACTCCCAAACTCTTAATATCAGTCTACGTATCTGAGCATATCTACTCCAAGGACACTTTCACAGTATTTCACAGAATGTACATGGTAGGGGACCAGGCCTAAATTCAAGCTAAACATTATTCTGAATTTCAGTCTTTAAACAATTGTTATAGCCCAGGTTGTGTTGTCAAACTGACAAACACAGTGTAAAGTTTGGCGTGGAACATCTTTTGTGATAGAATATTTAATGCTGGCAAATATTTTTAGCTGAAGCAAACCCCCTGAAAACAACTCTGCCCTTATCTAACAATTGTCCTGTTCAAATTGAAGATGTCAACTTATTTAATTTTTTAAAAAGAGCAAGGATAACACAATTTCCCAAAACATCAGGCACCCCAATTTTAACTATGCTGTATCTGTAAATCACTGACAGACGCCCACAGTGTCATGTTGCTATTATTTCATCCCAATTTAAGTGTTTAACTGCTGATGCAGCTGGTTTAGGACTGGGCTAGATAGATAATTAAATAATCACAAATTAACTCTGTGCATATTAACTGTATTTGGCAGACTGACATTGGCTTATACCCCAAAAGTGCTTTAGTCCTGAGACTGGAAGTTTAAATAACCAAGCAGTTTAATACAAAATTTTGGCTTTGAATGGCTCAATTTTTAAAAATGAATTTGAAAAAGCATTTTTCAAGTTTCATACACGACTCTTTACTTCAAGGACAAATTCTGCATTCAAACAACAATGAAGGAAGAACAACTTTTCATTTTCCAACTCTTGCAGAACAGGGGTTCAGGGTGGAAGGAAGTGCCTCCTCTGAATAACCTTTTCCCCTTTGCCTCGGCCATCATTAATTATAAATCACTTAGACTTGTAGTCTACAACTTTCCTAACCTACAAGTGCAGGGAATGTGTAGCTGCTCCTTCCCTAGAGGATGCATAGGAAACTGACAGAAAAGTAGAATTCAGAATAATACCTGCCAATTCCTGCCACAGTCTATGCTTTTTTTTTTTTGCAACCTATGGCTTTTTCAGAGATTCCCCCCCCCCCCCTTTTCTCTTTTGCAAATGAAGGCTATTTTAAACCATCACTTCCTTCCTCAACACACATCTCATTTGAACTATAAGCATCCCAGGGAGATGGGTGGTTAAGAAATTTGAAACATCAATAAATAAACATAACTATTCCTAAAGAAAAGGGATGATGACATTTTTGATATCTTTTCTTGGAAGGGAGGGGCTCTGGAGGCAACTGCTACACTTCTGAAAACAAGCGTTCCTTTTTTTGAGCGTTTTGATAAAAGTGGTTTCTCTTTAAACCAGAGAGGTAGGAGAGAGGCTGGTGGGGTCAGCTGTACATATCAGCCAGCCTTGCCCTTCTCCAGGTCCAGCCCCAATGGCGATATGTGACTCGGTCTGGGAGGCTCGCGCAGAGGTCATAGCAATTTTATGGTGATAGTGATAAAATATCTGAGCGAGACCTCTTCCCATTGCAACCGGGGCAGTTTTAATCGATCACTAGCCACTCCCAACAAGTAGTAATAATTATGCTAACAGTAGCCAAAGCAAGAATTAAGAAAGCATCCCAAAGGTCATCTCTTTCTAACTGGCTATGGGCGTGAAAAATATATTTCATCTTTCCTTCTGCTCCTAAATCTCTCTTCCCAAGCCACATTTATTCCCCCAAAGTATGCCTCCCGCCCCAACACACAGTTTCTTTCCACCCCTCCCGCAGACAACCAGCATTTGCTAATAGGGGCACCATATGGGCCGTTTTGCCTTCTCAACCCCTCTCCCCTCACTCGCACTCTCTCTCTCTTTTTTTTAAGGGACATCGGTGCACAGGGAACAACACACAACACGGATGGAAAGTCAAGAAGCCACACAAAGACAAGACACGGACGGACAGCAATTGCCAACACACAGAAACGCAGCTTCGGGTTACAGAACCAAATCCTCGCCGATCTCCAGCGCTTGTTCTGCGGCGGGCAGAAAAAAAGGCAAGAGGAAAAATAACGACAAATCCACTCCGTGGCTATTTCAGCCGCTCCGGTTGCGGCTCAACTGTGCTTGTAGCGACGCGGCTGAGTGGTGGGTTGGCGCTTTTTTTTTTTTTTTTGCCGCAGTCCAGCGTGTGTGTGTCTGTGTGCGTGCGCGTACGCGTGTGTGACAGAGCCTGGGTGTGCGTGAGTGTATTTATTTCTTTATTTTTTAAAATCGTCTGGACGTGGCAACGCGGAGACAAACCCAGCCAAGATAAGAGAAACGATCTCCCAAATTTTTACGCAGCGATCCTGAGCGGCGTCCCGCCAGCCGCTGCCCCAAAGCTGAACATCTAAGTCGGTGGAAGTGTGGGTGGGGGTGGGTTGGGGGTGGGAGGCAAAGCTGCACCTCCTTCCTAACCCCGTTATATTAGCCCTCTGGGGCCAGGAGGAAAATCCACGCAGAGCTTCCAAGCCAAGAGAAGAGCGCTGGTCCTTTCTGTGGGAAAGCGCTTTGGAGCGTAGACTGAAATGGGGGTCCTCGGGGCGAGTGGGGGAAGACGGGCTCCAGACAAAGACTCGGGCACGTAGGAGGCTTGAAACTGACGCGGACCGCCGCTTGTGTCGGAATCCGGGTAGTTGCAGCCCTCCGGCGCTTTTTCGCACATACACACGCACACGCAGGCGGGGGAGCTGAGGGGAAGGCTGGTCGGCTGCGGACCGAGCCGGGTTGGGAAAGGTAAGCCCAGCAACCTCGGAGAACTGGCGGGAGAAAATCCCGGGGAGATACATTTCCACGTTTCGTCCACTTCTGTCAAGAAGGGGCGTGTGTGTGTGTGGGGGGGGGGGGGGCTAGACTTTCCTCGGGGTTGTTTTTCCCACGACCCCAATTGTTGCGGCTGGACAGGGGTGCAAAGGCGGTGGGAGAATTGCAGCAGCCACGGACGCGTGGTGGGTGAAGGAGAGAGCAATGGAGAGGATGCGGGGGTCTTTCCACGAAACGAGACCCGAGAGAAAAACAGTCTCGGGACGAGGCAAAGACCACGCGCGGTTTTTTGTTTTTTTTAATTTATTTAAAAGAAGCCCCCGGGTGTGAGGTCTCCATAGGTTGGTTCAGAATAATGTTTTCCAGGCACCATCGCCGTCCTTGCTGTGAAATGTGTTCCAGCTAGTTCAAATTAAACATTTTCAAGCACTGATTGAACTCAGTCAAAGAAAACACGTGAAAGGGAACGACTCGTTCCTGGGAATGCCCGTGGTTGAAAACAGACCAGCCTTCAAAAGGGGCACCACTTCTAGGGATCACATGGACACGTTTAGGTTATTTTCTTGGAAACAAGGGAGAAATGATTTTTGTTTTCATTAGCTTCTTCTGGCCGATGTGTTATTTCCCAGTGGGGTCTATATTTAGAGTCTCTCCTGGTAGTCTCCCATCCAAGTAAGAAGTAGATTCCCATCTAACCCAGCTTAGCTTTTTCAAAATCATCCAAGTTTTACACAGGGTTTCAGCTGGGTGAAACTTGACACTGTCACAATTGTCCAGGTCACCAACAAACTGTCCCATGATAATAACAGATAGGCATTTTAAGGATGATCACAGGTTGCGGTTAGCATACTTTCTCTGGGTTATCATTAAAGTGTGGATTTGAAGTTGCTTCCACTATACTTTTAAACATACCCGGCTTTCACTGTTTTCGCATTCTGTGATGGGCCTGAATGACAAAAGTGATGGCCTTCCTTAGTGGTGGCTCCCTACTTCATGAGAAAAGTAAAATGTTTTTCAGGCTACTATTCTCCTGATTCTCTTAGCATTTAAAATATCTCAACATATGCAGGTGTTGTTTTTTTTTGGCAAGGTGGGGAATTGGGATTTTGGTCCCTGTCATCTGAAGTTCAACTCTTTTATCTGATATGTTTTTAGTTTCTGTCTTTATATATATATTTATTTATATATTAAACTTAGAAACTAGCCGTCTCATTCACAGATCAACTCTTATAATTGTAAACTAGCCCATGTGTTTATCAGTTTGAGATTATGCATTTATTTTTATTGCCACATTACTATACCACATTCTATTATTTAAATGATACTTCTGCGGTGTGTTGTGATATTGTTTAATGCATTATTTATTTCATTAAACTCAAACTATGCATCCATATCTGGAAGCCATTCCCAATTTCCATTAATGACGTTAAAATATTGCACCCTGAGATCTCTGAATCTTAGGTTTGCTGTTGTTTACGTCAATTCTATTGGTTCAACCTAGCAAAGAGCAGCAAAACATTAAAACAGGCTTGTAAAAAGAAATGAGCAGGGTGCTTTGAACTCAATATATTATGTCCCAATTTGGAAAATTGCTTGTCCAGAAAGAATTGCTATTGACCCGAAGAACTAGCCAAGGGATTAATTAATTAAAAAAAAACTGTAATAGGGTTTGATGACATTTTTTTTTGAAGTAGATGTAAGAACAGAACAAGTCTGATGTGGTGGATAAGGCATCAGGAGAGAGGCTGTGAGTTCTAGTCCTTCCTTAAATACAAAGCTAGTTGGGAGAACTAGTGCCAGTCACTGTCTCTCAGTCCTAGGAAAGAAGCAGTGCCAAACCACTTCTGAAAACTTGCCACTGCAGGGTCTAGCCCAGGCCATCATTGGGAGTAAAACATTAGTCTCTCAGGAGAGGAGCAGGTGGAGGAAGAGAAGAAGGAGAGGTTGTGGTATAAGGACACTGAGAGGACCCAGTGCTGATACTGTTCAGAGGAAGTCTTCCATTCCCACCATAGTGTTATTCAATATATTATGTCCCCATGAACACCTGGTCAGGAGAGCTGGTTAGCATTGGACCTAGATTAAGTTACATTTTAGCCACAATAGCATGTTAGATAACCTTGGCCACATCACTACCTCTTTATCCAGCCTAGCTCAGAGAAAGGATCAAATTGAATAAACTCTGTGTAATCTTTCCTACCTTCTTGAAAGAAGGATGAGATACTGATAAATAGACATCTCCTCAAGCGCTGATATACCCCAACAGTGCCATAGAGGGATAGGAATATATTCTACCTTTTCCATTTCAAACTATTGCCCCATCTAATGCCCATCTTCTTATACTTTATGTTCTTTATACTCTGTTGTAAATTATTGCCTTAGATTTAGCATATATGAAATAAAAATATTGCTATGACTACTAATTCACACTCCTCTCCTGATAAGGAAGGCCTTTAAAAAAATATATATGCTGGTTTCATTCTATGAATGATTGGCAAGGCAGGGTTTGAGATAGCACACAGCAGCTAAATCATGCTCAGCCAAATGCAATTAGAATTTCCCTGCAAAACATCCCCACCAAGAGGATAATTTGAGATGGAAGGCTCCAAGCCAAAGTACGTGTTTCCTCCATTATTGAAGCTGGTATCTTGGCCAGTGTCAAAGATGTTCTTTCCTCATTACTGAACTTCCTATGGCTGAAAGGGTGAGTACACCAGAAGGCTCTTTGGATGGTTATTTATTGTATAATATAGCTGCAATCTTATGTATATGAATATTTTTTTTTGTAGTAGTAAGCAAAAACTCAGATCAATAGTTCAGCAGGGTTCTGAGTAACATTCATAAGAATTCTAATCTGAGAGAGAATACTAGTAATAATCCTAAGACATCAAATAGTTTTAAAATTCTCTCGTCTATACCACTAGAATATGTGATTCTCAAGTTGGCAATGTTAACTTGTGTGGACTTCAACTCCTAGAATTCCCCAGGGATACATCTTAGAGGGGCTGAGATCAAGAAACACTGCTCTATATCATATTATACATTTTATTTCTTGTCCTGGAAAGTATATGAGTATCTGCACATTTTCAGAAAACAGTCCTGAGGATATTATCTCTGTACACATATATTTTGCACTGTTATGCTATTTGCACATAACAACTGCTATTCTGCATTAAGTAGACACAGGTGTGCATTTAATTTAACTGCTTAGTACTTGCACTTTAGTAATACACATTTGTGTTGAGAAGTTTTGAAATCTGCCAAACTGGACCTTTAGAAATATTAAAAAAATAATTGCTATTTGTAATAGGTCTACGTGCCATTTTTGCCTCTCATTTTTGAGAACAAGAGTGGGAACAGTTGATAACATACCCATCATTTCCAACAAGAAGTGGTTACTGATGGATATGCTACCAGTTTTTTTTTTTCATTTCCAAAAATCATAAAGACGGTATTATTGTGATAAACTATATGGATCGAACTGATCCATGATCAGTTTCAGTCATATATGAAGATTGCACTAGACTGGAATCTTCTCTTAAATAAGTTCCAATGGAATAAATCAGAAGTTTACAAGAATGACTGATAAATCTCAAAATATGTAAGATGATATAATATGCATAGGAAAAAAATCTGTGTAAAAAAAATCTGTGCAGACAATTAGGATCCAAGAGTTGATATTGTGTCTATATAGTAGATAGTGCCTTTGTCTGGTCTTCTGGCAGCTGGTGGACAAGTTTGTATAGTTTTCTTGATACAATTTTCAGAAATAGTTCGCCATGACCATTTTCCTGGGGTTGAGACAAGAGGTGGTATTCAGTAGGTTCTGACCAGTTCTGAAGAACTGGTAGCAGAAATTTTGAGTAGTTAGGAAAACCGGAAAATACCACCTCTGACTGGCCCTGCCACCATCTATTCTCTGCCTCCAGAGTCTCAGCTGATCAGCTGGGTCTTCTTTTGTTGCCTTGCACAGGAGAACGGAGCTGGAAAGCAGGTTAGTGGGGTGGGGAGGGAATGGGGATTTTGCAGTAACCTTCCCCTGCTACACCCACTGAGCCACAGCACACATACCAAGTTAAGCCCACAAAACCAGTAGTAAAAAAAAGAAAAGAATATCACGACAGGTTGAGACAGAGATGTTAGCTCAATGTCACCCTTAAAGCATTTGTTTTGTGTAATTCCCCTCCACCCCAATCGATCAAAAATTTAGTCCTGCCCAACCCAGAGATGTGGATGTATCTCTGTATTGGGCATAGTATGTTCCTAATGGCTTTGGAGGTTCAAAAATAATTTAAAAAAATGACTTCATATTACACAAGAGTTGATTTTAACAACTGTAAGGC